CCAGCCCCTGGCGGCCCGCCCCAGCCGGTGACGCCCGCGCTCTCCTGTCAAAGGCTCGACCATCAGAAAAGGATTCCTTCGCAATTGTTTCCAGCGACACGACACCGCAGGAGATTTGTGCGGCTGTCAAAAAATGATCGCTACACTTTGCTTTTCACTAACCTTTGCTCTTTGAAGCTTCCTTTTAGGAGAGAGAGTCGGCCACGCCGCGCGCGGGATTGGGAGCGCCCCCTGCCACCTGCTAAGGCGGGCCGTGGGACCTTGAGCCTCCCAGCCCAGCTTCCTCAGCACCGCGCAGGGATGGGCTGAAATCTTATCTCGGGGCGGGCGTGGAGGACCCAGGTACGGCGGGTGCCCGGATCGCAGGGAGCTGGGCGTCCCCTGGGCCTCCCGGAGCGTGCTCTAGCGCCCCCCCGAGGAGCCGGGTCCCGTCGCGCCCGGGCCTCCGCGTTTCCCGCCAGCGGGATGAAGGCAGGTTTTCCTGCCTTGCTGTCGGGTGGGGACCGCGCAATGGTGCCCCAGGGCCCAGAATCGCCCCGAGAGCCTCGGGGGGCAGAGTGAACCCAGCTCCGTGAGATTGTCCTTTCCCCTGAGGTCACATTCTCCTGACTTCTGCCTTCATGTAATCTCCATAGTGGTTGCCAGCAGCTCGAGGTGGGAGTTTGCTAGGGCAGGAAAGAGCGCCCCCTCACTTGTTCATTACCCTTCCCTCCAGCAAAATGAGTTTAGCTGCTTTCTGTGGCCGGGAAGAAGGAACCCCAGCTATCCGCGCAGGCTGCATTCCCCTCTGATCCCGTCAGGTGTGGGGGTGCGCTCAAGCTGGGCCGAGCCAAGACAGCAAGGGCCGGAAAGCCCTAGACCCTGAGCAAGGCAGTGTTTCCTGAGACTCCCCAGTGAAACCTGTCCCCAGGTGGTCTTCCCCTTCCCACCTTCTCCACAGATACCTGTCTGGTTCAAGCCACCAGCATTTCCTGAGTGTGATTGCCTAGCGACCTGCCTCCATTCTTGCCCTATGGTCCCTTTTTGACAGTGCAGCCAACATTGATTTAAAAATTAAACCAGACTATAGTATCCCTTGCTTAAAAGTCTCCAAAGGCTTCCCCGTCACCCTTAGAACGAAACCCACTTTCATCACCAGGGCCTGACGGGCCAGCCCGAGGTAGTCTTCCCTGACTCTGAGACCTTCTCTCCCACTCCTGGCCTCCTCCGGGCTCAGCCACTGCACTCAAGCTCCTTTAATGTGATCTGGCCCCAGCCCCTTTGCAGTGGATGGGCCTCTGCCTAGAGCGCTCCACCCCATTCATATGTGGCGGGCTCTGGTGCGTGCAGATGACCGAGAGGCTCTCCAAGCAGGCTTCTTAAGGTAGACACCGGCTGCTACACCCTGCAACGGACACTCCACTTTATTTTCTTCATAGCACTTATATACTTAACATTTAATTATTCACTATTGTTTTCTTATTAAAATATTAAATGTTGATGTTAATTAATAAGTTAATTAAAATTTAAATATAGTAAAATGTGTATTTATTAAATATTAAAATTATTAAATTTCATTACTGGCTATTATTTAATTATTTTTTTGCCTATTTATTATTTTGTACCACTTTTTTCACCAAACTTAAGGTCCGTGAGTGCAGAGACTTTGCCCATCTTGTTATTCTCAGTGCCTGTGAGAGTGCATAGTACACAGTAGATGCTCAATAAATATTTGTTTAATAAATGAAGGAAGTTCAAAAAGGTTGCCACACGCTTTGTTGCAATGGGGAAGGAGGTGTTTGAGGCTGACGTTGGGACATTTATTGATTTAACATTCACAAAATGCAGTACTTAGTGAACATTTTATTAGGCACCAGTTGCAACAGGGAACAAAACAGACAGGAGCTCTGCTCCTGTGGGGCTTACATTCTATGACAGAAACTAAATGAGTTCTGAGGAGCAAGACTATAGGAGGGCTCCCACCTTAGAGAAGGTGCTCAGAAGAGTATTCTTTGAAGAAGTGTCTTTTTATCTGATACCAGAATAGGGAGGGAAGTATGTGCAAAGCTTGAGGGAGGAAAGATCTTAGGTTGAAGAATAAGAGAAGTTTGGGCAAAGCAGGAGAGCAAGAGGAAGTGGAAAGGAATGTTACTGGGAAGATAGGTAGCGGCCACTGTCACTCAGGGCCTTGTAGGCCATGGGGCTGAGCTTGGATTCATTTGAAGGGCAATGGGAAGTCACTGGAGGGCATTAAGCATGGGATGATGTGATCCAATATATGTTTTAAGATGACTTATGCGATTGAGTGAGGGGTGGATTGAATGAGGGCATCTATAAAAAGGAGAGATACAATTGCAAGGTTCTTGCAACAGTTCAGACTTGCTATTGCTCACTAGAAATAATGATGATAGGAGGGAAAGAGAAGTAACAGATTCAAGATCTATTTTGGTGGTAGAGCAGACAGGACTTTTTCATAATTGTTTTTGGGAGAGGAGGAAAATGAAGAACTCAGGATGGCAGGTAGGTTTCTGGCTTATTAAATTGGGTTGACTGTGGTCCCATTTAATATTACAGGTGCAAGATTGCTTATTCATCTTAGTGATAATCCAAGTTCATCTCCCAGACTTCAGGGAGGGCCACAATAAAATTATCAAAACAGATATATGTTTCCCACTTTTAAAAAATTAAACTTTTGTAGATA